ATCTTTCAGTATAGTTGGATGCACAAAGGTGGTAAATGTGTATTTATGCACCCACATGGTAAAACATTGATATGACTCTAATGTTGCAAAACAATTAGATGAAATATAAGAATTGTGTTTCGCTACCGTCTGAAATTAGAAACAAAAACTATTTGCGGTTTACGTTAAAATTAAAATGGTTTAAAACAAGATGTATATAAAGTTATTTCTACATTCGGATCTGTTTTACTCTTTTTCGGAAACAAAAACATGAATTTGAATTGAAAAAGTTATAAAGTAAGACATAGAAATATAAAAATGCTCCGAGGGACGAATAAACATAACTCTGCTTTTTACTCTTAGCTTCAATAAATCGTAAAAGTATCTGCTGACCAACATTTCGATATCGAATTCACAAATTTCGTTACAATTTCAACAAGTAACGTTAAATTGAAATAAATGTAAACTTTCACGTATTTCAATAAGTACGTTTTAAATAAATACACACCCGTATTCGTATTATAGATCATAAATTATGTTCCCATTTTCTATAGCAGCACCTCGAAACTAGGTTATAACGGTAGGTGGGAAGTTGGACAGTTCATATTGACTTGAATAATATATAAACTAGGTACCCACCCTAGCTTCACAGGGGTACTTTAAAAAAGTGTAAAATATCCTATATTGCGTAAAATGCGATGAGCACTTATACATATGTAGTTTGATTTAAACATAAAATATGTCTGAACTTAGAGAAACGATATATTTTTATGTTATAATAATAGTTATTAATATAATAAAATAACAAATTTTTGTATACAACGACGTGTGAAAAATTGAGCTATCGCGTAGATTTAATTTTGCGAATTATTAAACTTATGATAACTTTCAAATGGTACGCCAAAATTAAATAATTCGTTGATAATGATGTAGGCTTGAGCACAAGTTATTTATTTTGGTAAGACTTAACACTGTGATTATGAAAATAGCTTTCATATAAACCATTCATGAATGGCAATTTTTAAAAGTAGTAAAATGGATATAGGTAGTATAAAATGGATAGAAGATAGATATATGGGATCGCGGACTTTTCTGTAGACCTATATAAAATAAATAATTCCACGACACATTGTTTTGATATATATCAAGGGATTTTGGCAGCGTTTTCGTTAAAAGCTGACAGATGGCTCATTTTTACCCGACAACTTTAACAAATATCGTTAATGTAGACACAAATCAAACCTAAGCCATAACAAATTATATATTAAAACCTTCCACCAAAACAACGCTATCGAATCTTGAAAACTGCTTGATAACTGTTTTAGTAGTTTATTTGTTTATTGCGAACTGACTGGGCGGGATACTTTGTTTGATAATATGTGTTGATGATTGATGATGATATTTAATGTTAAAACATTTTTTACGCCAGTAATGTTTAATAATAAGAATCCTAACAATTACGACATACTAAAGGTTTAATAAAAAACTAAGGCACAAAAAAACAACCTGTATTCGCCATGTTGGATTTCTTTATTTCGCGTAGCCTGTAGGTTTATGATAATTCCCGCGGTACCTCATTCGCAAATCGTTTGATCCTCTCAATTTCCGTGACAACGGGGATACGGTAACGTCTATTAAACCTTTCACTCCAGAATGACTATTATATAAATTTGTTTACCTAATCCGATCTCTTTAAATAATAAATTTTCATTAAAAACTGTACACTTCTTTCCAAGAAAATTTCACAACTATAATATTTATTTAAAAATTTCTACAGAAATACTACACTTAAACAAATTTTGGTTGCAAAATGAGAAATGCTTTATTCTACTAAATGTATTGTTTCTAGGAATAATTTAAAACACCTTCTTATCCGAAAATTAAAAAAAATACAGATACACACTGAGCCACTTCAAAACTGAAATATGGTTTGAATGGGTAACACTATATGAAAAGTCCCTTTGCCACGTTAAAACATTAATTTAGTTAACTCTCCACTACTTTGTACATGTGTAACATACATACCGAATTTATGAGCCGTGTTGGTCTGATGAATGATATTTTATTTAGCAATTTTTTTATCCATTGTTGTAATTTCATATAAATAAAGTTTCAACGAACTGATAAGGTACACTTTGATAACGTTCACACATTGTTTTCTTATTTATAATCTCTAATTTAATTTCTGATGTTTTTTTTAATAATAATTACGTTTGGAGAGTATTCGTGTTAGTAAAAATGTTGCAGAGTATGACAGGAATATTTATGACCTGACAATTATTATACGAGCCACGCACTTTACTTACCACGAATATTAGAAAGTTGGAAATATGGCAAAAAATATATATATAATGAAAGACGTTGTACATACCATAGTACAAAAAACATGCGGGACAATAACAGAAGTTGCCAAGAATTGCCTTCGTACCGCACTGAAATTGTAACCAGAAATGGAATGCAAACATTGAAAACGGGAACTGTGCAGTAAAATCTGTTTTATGCGATAACACGCTTGGACTAAAACACCTCCTACCTATTCATTCCCTCCATTAAACATTCATTTTTATAATTCGAACAAACGATTTTGCGAAGGGACGTACCGATTAGAAATTTTCAAAATCATGTAAAAATACTTTTATCTGCAAACATTGTTAAATCTCTAATGATTCAACAACTATATAAATCTAATTTACTTTTGGATTATCTAAACTCAATACTTATTGTGGACAATAGGAAATATATACAAATATTACAAAAGCAAAATAACTTTAGAAAATTAATCAAATCAGTCAAATTATATTAATTAATCTAAACCTATATCTATAACACACATCAATTGCTGAAATAATTTAATTTTTTGATAATGTACAATTTATAAAGTAAGGAAAGTACCACCCTCTCACAGAAGATCCTGAAGTAGCCTATAATAGCCGCATTTCGTCCGATGAGTGAGAGAGCAGTTTTCCGTTTCTCTATTCCCACTATTTCCTACCATTTCCTTGATTCCGACCCTCCCTATACCTCAAAAAACAAGATTGGCAACGCATCCGCAACAAAGATGTGGCAGATGTCCATGGGCGATGGTAACTACATCCCTTCAAGTAGACCGTGAGCACGTTTGCCCCCTGTCATCGTTATCATCATTTCGGCCGAAAGATGTCCACTGCAGGACATAGGCCTCCCCCAAGGATCTCCACGACAACCAGTCTTGTGCCACCCAAATCTAGCGGATTCCCGCGACCTTTACCAGATCGTCGATCCACCTTGTTGGGGGCCACATTGTTAAAAATAAGAAATAATTAGCACATATAATATTACATTATGGTTATGGAATGATTAAATATGATTACAAATAATTCAAGTTGTTTATTTAAGACCGCATATTAACAATCAATTGGTTTGATTTGTTTTAGAAAATAAATCGAAAATTTGGATTCAACATATGGAATTGTTTATATTTATTCGTATAAGTCGTCGTCCATATCTGTAGTTTTTTGGGTGCTTTGGAACGTAAAAGAATATCATGACATCAGAAGATAAATATTGTTAAAAAATAAAATAACAGTATTTTTAATAATTAAATTTATTACTTAAGAATTTATTACACATAGCTGCTTAATCTTACGATATGTCAAGAAGTCTTTAGAAAATCACCGAACGTAATAACAAGTGCAAGGAATTTTACAGAACCATACTGTCCGTGAAATAGATAGAACAGTATCTACATACATTAAAATCATACAAAACCAATTGCAAATTGCAAAATAAATACTAGATTATAATCTCAGAAACACTATTTTTTCAATAGAATTGTTCGCATAGAAATTGTAATATTTACATATGTTTTAAAAAATGTAATATCTCTCAAGTCACATGAGATAAGAATAGAAGCAATTAATTTTATTATTTACATTTATGTACTTTAAACAATATATGTATATAATTAATTTATACCATCACAGTGGATTCATATTTAGTACAATAATATATGTATATTATAAAATTACTTTTTAATAAAATAAATTAAAATCTTTTTTTTTTGTTAACGCTGTGAAAGGTTCTATATTTATCCCTCCGTCTGGGGGAGATGGAGGGATTATGTGGAATTCACGGGCCAGAAGCGCCCATGCTACCCACTAAAACAGCAAAGGTCACTCTCCGGCGCCGCCTAGTGGATCACCACGGGAATCGTCGAAGCATACATCCGTGACTATCCGGCGGCAGGCCGCGGACGGCCACCTCCCCGGCCGAGGAGTGTCCCCCCGCCTGGCGGGCTTGCTTAATCTCGAGAGAATTAACCCCTTACCCCGGAGAATCTAGGTCACCGCCGCCGCGAACGCATCAAAATTGAAACGCTCTCAGTTAAAAATTCATAAAAGTGGTAAAAATTAACCAATTTAAATAAAATTAGTGTCCACGTGCGCGTCTCAGTGCCCTCTGTGTTTTGGTGAAAGTTTTAAGTGAAAAGTCGGAAAATCCAAAGAGTAATTCCAGAAAAACTAGGAATTTAAAAAAAATTTGGAACTCTTATCTCCAAAAAACTCAGAAAAGCGATCGACGACCTACACTTTTTATACCGCCAAATCACGTGTAACAACGAGGCACATCTTCCGACACATCTGGAAGAAGTTTCCGGGAAGAATCTAGGGAGGAACAGACATTTTCCGGAAACCACGTGGCACGCGGTCTTTGATCCGGCAACGTGCGGCTGCATTAAACATCATAATATTATAGCCACCAACAAGACAAAACTAAAGACACCTCAAGATCCTCGGTGAAGAGTTCCTGTGAAGAGTTACGGGAGAAAATAGGAATAACGTTAAAATTACAAATCCGCCGCAGATCAAAAGGAGATCGACGACCCCCAGATATTGTTTGATAATTATATCAGGAATAGTGAGAAGCACATTCCCTGAAATTGTCAGATTATTCTGGAGCGCGGTTCGGGAGATATAATTTTCCCTGAAAACCAGGGGGCTCGTGGTCATCTATCCAGGACAGCTGGTGAGTACCTGATAAAAATGGCCGATCAGTCCCAAGAGCTAAAGTTGGCGCCAACATCTGCTCCATCCACCTCAACCAATCAAAAACCGGCAAGGAAACCCGTAACCAAGACTGTTAAACAAACATCTACTAAATCAGCACTAACACCAACAAAACAGAGGACTTTAAGGCAGAAGGTCCTTACCAAAACAGCGTCGAGAAACCTGCAAGAAGAGGAAGACCTAGCACGAGTCCCCGGCGACAGCCCCGTCCTGACTCCAGAATCGAGACAAAACACCGAAGTAGCGACGCCCTCGCCCCCTTCATCCGCCAGCTCTGTCATAGACAGCATTAACCAGGACGCACAATCCCCCGAAAACACAGGACGAGATCCGGCCTCGGAGGATAGTGACAGCTCGGTGGGCTCCATTCCATCTTATTTCCCCGACAATGACACAGTCCCATTGCAGAGAAAGGGGAGAAAAAGCCTGCTATTCACCACCAAGAGAGGCAGAGGAGTAGAGATGGACGCTGCTACTAAGGAGGCTAACACCTTACTCCTGAACGGTAAAGAAGCTCTGGAACAGGCGACAAACATCAAAAAGGAGCTCAAAACAACAGCCCTTGAAAGTATGCAGGCCCTTTACGAGATCGTACTATCCCTCTCTGATTCCAGATCAAGACATAAAAATAATCTGGAAAAAGAGAGATCGCGCCACGCGCAGGAGCTTGTGCGACTGGAAAGGGCCCACTCAAAGAGCTTAGAAGAAATCACCGCCGAAATGAGGAGTACGAGGGAAACACTAGCCACAAACCTCAAGGAAACAACGGACATAAGGAAATGGCTAGAGTTCGAAACACGGGACCCTCACATACAGATCAAAGACACAGCCAGACTGACGAACGAGATAGCCAACAAAGTAACAAAACTCATCGACCCTTCCACCAAAAAGTGCCACAGTACCTCCAGCGACCAACAATGGGAGCTCGTCAAAACAGACATCGGTACCGTCATAAGAATTACATCAGATACACGGAACCAGATTGATGAGCTCCGCAAAGGTATGTCCAACTTAGATACCATTACAAACAACATAAGGAAAAACCTGAAGAAGGAAAATAATAAACCCCCACCACAACCAACGCAGTCGGTCGAGAACATAGAAAAGAAGTTTGACGCGTTGAAGTCGGAAATTAAAAACCTCGGTGATAGATTTAAAGAGGATGCTGCCACAAAACAACCGCAGAAGCCGATCCAACTGGGTGAACACCTGCTGCCCATCACAGAACGGCTTAAAGCAGTAGCATCAGACATAAAATCAATGACAATGCGTTACCACCCAAGATCATAAGCATCGACGCATTGTCCGCGGGCTACTACAAGGGTGAAGTATTAGATCATCTAGGAAGTGTAGAAGCATCAGAATTCCACGAGGTGATCATATACGAAGACAGAGGGGAAGACCTAAGTTACCTGAAGATCTGGAAACCCAAAACCCCCACTGTCACCCCCGCTACAGGTTATCCATCAAGCCTAACTAGCTCCGGTAAACCATCAGGCTCAGAGCTTCAACAACGGAGATTCCAGGAAAAGAGCACTCAGAAAGACCCCAAAGCCAAAAAATCTTCGGCCGGGTGCACCATATCCTCGATCCTCCAAAAGTTAACGCACGGAGCTCGAAGTAAACCATCAATCGAGTCGGCAATCCACGGAACACCCCCAACAGCCTACAAAAACCCACCACACAGTGCGCCAACAAGAAGAACCAAAGCCGCAATGGGTGTAGTTCAGTCTCCTGAATATAGGAAGATCGTCGAACCAAGAGACCATCTTATAAATGCGTTCCTTGAGTATATCTCAATAATTAAAGGGCAAAAAGCGGAAAAGACCAACAGATGCCGCAAAATCCTAGAGACGTTCCACCTAGGGAACGAAGGTTTATTGAAGGTATTACTCGAGGAAGCCGAAGCGACGATCTACAACAACAGCACCTCGGAAGTGGTTAGGGGAAGACAAATGCAACCCCATATGGCTGCATACAATGGAGAAAAGGGCATTGTCTACCTTAACAAGACTGACACCGGGAGATCAGGAATACTGACCTATGACACCCCACCCACGGACCCGATAGTGGTTGTAACCGATTCCACAAGGATCTACCTCGAGGACAGCATATTAAAAAGAGCGGACGAACTGATGGAAGCCACCGACCTCGAGGAATGGAAGGTTCCAACCATCAACTGGACAAACGGTGTACCGGGATGCGGTAAGACGACCTGGATAGTGAAGAACTTTAACGAGACCACGGACATAGTAGTGACTACAACTACAGAAGGTAAGACAGATCTGAAGAACAAGGTGGCGATCACGAAGGGACCCGCCGCCGCGGCCAGAATCCGTACAATCGCATCAGTGATCGCGAATGGGGTCAAACGGAACATAGTGTGCCAGAGACTAATAATCGACGAGGCACTTATGAACCACTTTGGCTCCATAGTAATGGCACAACAAATCACTGATGCCAGCGAGGTTCTGCTGATCGGCGACATCAACCAACTCCCCTTCATTGAACGCGAAAATCTCTTCAGACTGTACTACAAAGGGCCTGAACATCTGGCAAATATAAATCAGGAACTACTGTGTACCAGACGCTGCCCTATGGACGTAGCCTACGCGCTCAAAGACATCTATGACGGCATCTACTCCTCCAACGGGATAGTAAAATCCGCTGTGCTGAAGGAATACACTGGTGCGAAAATACCCAAACACCTACCTAGGACCCTCTACCTTACGTACACGCAGAAAGAGAAATCTGAACTGCTGCAAGAAGGATACGGAACTGGAGAAGAATCCCGCACCATGACTATTCATGAAGCCCAAGGTCAAACCAGCGAGATCGTCGTAGTTATAAAACGCAGCCCCACCAACTGCTCACTGCATAACAGCGTGCCCCACGCGGTAGTAGCTATGTCCAGACACACAAAGGCCTTCTTTTACTATTCAGATAACCATCAAGACGCACTTGGAAAAATCGTCAATATATCAACATCAGCAACCGCCCAGCAGATCGAGAACTACAACATCAAAATGGCAATCAAATCGAGGGATTTCAACACCATTAAGAATATAACTGAGAGCTAATTCTTGAGAAATATCTAAAATTAAATCTTGTTGTCTAAAAAGGGCATGGACCCTAGAGTTCATGGAGTTTAATAATAATAATAAAAAAAAAAAAAAAACCCCTTACCCCTCCTACCCAAACCCAAGCGGCCAGTCTCCAACCAACCACCGACGAGTGCAAGCACCCAACGGCAGACAGAGCGGAAACCGACAATCAAGCGAACTCAGGCCTCCAGAGAGACCCGAGTTTCACCTCCCCTCTAATATAGCCACGAACTGGCCCCCTGCCATCCGTGACCGTCTGATTCCCACGGCTGGAACCCCAGCCCGGACCAAGATCACACAAGGAGGTCAAGGCCCTCCCCCCGTGACTGATTCCACCGGAATAAACCGGTGGGCGATGAAGTCGTCAAGTTCCGCCGGAAATAAATTCAATTTCTTAATTAGTATACAGTCTCAAGGTTTTTTATTTCATATATTTTTTTACTTTTTGGAACAATACAATGATTTTTTTATATTATATAGAAAGAAATACAACAGAAATCATATGATTTTTTGTATAGCTTTATTGTCTCTTTCTTTTACGAATCACGACTTCGGTATTATAAAATAAAAATTTTAAGTATTAATTTCATTTAATTTTATGTATTAGTCATGTTTTCCTCACCATAATAATATTCATTATAATAAAAAAGAGCACATTTTTGATAGGCTGACAATATTTTTTTAGAACTGAGAATATATCTTTCACTATTTTTACTAAATTAGGTATAGTCCGTTAGACTTAAGCTGAGCTTTGCATTTGTGTGAGTGAAAGTAAAAATAGAGTTAGACAAAAAACTTTAAGAATTGAATTTTATTATATTTTGAATAGATACATAAGTGCTATAAAATAAGCAAAACTTGTAAAAGTCCAGATGGAAATATGAATATTATGAAAAAAAAAATTATTGAAAAAAAAAATTTTGAGAAAACTATACAAATTCTTATTCTATTGACATTGCGTTTTCAACATTTGACGTTGCTGCCAGTACAAAAGGTGAAGTGCGAAAGATGCGGAGCGAAGTAAAAGCCGAATAAACCGGTTCAAAACTATGTAGAAAAGAACGTGGCATTCAAAAATTTGACATCACACCTGCACTATCCGTGTGCACTCACACAAATGCCTTTAATCAAACGCACTACATATGTTTACAATCTCCATAATGAAGGAAACACTATTCCTTAACAAAAGTGTTAAAGGGAATTTCTTAGTAACTATCTTCTTTATAACATACAAAATATATATGAGATTAAAGTATAAAGTATACATAAATTTTCAATATTACCAAATACATATAATCTAAAATCTTGCCTTTGGATTCAGTTTTTGCACTCATCATAGATCTGATCTGATGAAAAATCTCTTTTAATTATTATTTTTAATATACTACAATTTATTACTTATTTACACTTTTACATAGAATTTCATGCCTAGAGAAGGTTGGTCAAATTAATACGAATACTATGTACAAGAAAACATGTCACACATGTTACTCTTACAATCAACAATTAACATATATTATTTATGTTACGCTTATGAAATAATTATTATAAACGTTTTTTGTTCAGGAATAAATTATATATCTAAATTTATTTGAGCAAGACCAAACAAAGGAAGCATGCATAGAGAAACAAGTGAGTTCAAAACTATCACGTCACTGCGACGACATGTTTTATTCACGTCCTGCGCTTCAAGCCCGTTGTCCGCAGCAACGATGCAAGTGATCTTAACATTTGGAAATAAAATTTTTGGAACTAGAGCCCCAGTGTATCCACAGCATATATTTAAGAGTTTATTGGAAACTGTTGTAATCAGTTGGATGCTTTTTTTGCAAAATCAATGTGATATTAAAATTCAAATCAGAGCTAATAAGCTAATACAAATGAATAAATTTAACATAGGTATGTTATTTATTGTTAATAAGTGAATACTGTATAATTATTTACCTATCATAAAGGATATCGCTATGGAATAGGTTTTAGCTTTATTTAATCAATGTTTATCTATGTATTTCATTTATGTTAACCCTAGTTTAGATTGTATATAGGTGAATTCAATTTCATGTTTTGTTATTTTAATCCAAACTGGCGCATGCTGTCCAACCTTTGCAGAAGCCTTTTCTTTATGGCTCAAAGAATAACAAACGCTTTGAGCAACTGTTTTACAATTTCCAACTATCCGTCTAAAAAAGATGGAACAAGTTCCAGAAAATTTTGATTAAAACTTTCAAATTGTTTTATATCTTTTATACGTTTAACTAAACTTTATTTACATAATCAGATGATTAGAATCGATAATTTTCTATCACGAAAAATTGTAAATAACAAACTTTTCTCATTGAACTTAATATAACTTCGGGACTTGTTTTATTAAGTCCAACTTTGTTTTCTTTTGTTTTTGTACTTAATTAATGACATTATAAGAAAACTACGATTAAAAAAAAATTATAATAATACCATCTGAAAATATAATATAAACGGGTTTAGGTTATTAAATTCTTAAGGCGATTTTTGCTTAAATATTGTCATGAAGAAAACACGAAAATCACAAGAACTCAGATCATTAGAAATGTAGTAAATTTTTATTACAGGAGAGTTCCTTTCTTTTCTGAAAGTATGAATTATTGATAATATTAACAGCTTTTATGGATTTTAATATCATATTTTTTTGTAAAAAAAGATACCTTTTCTAATAATAAATGTAATGACATTTCAAACATGACTTTTTCATTGAAATCATTAAAAGGTCCAAAACCATATAGTCGTCAAAACATTTACAATTCAAAATTTATATTGTTAAAACAAGTTTTACAAACGCCGAACTGTACAAAAATAATATTTTCACATAGATATGCTTCAATATGAAAAATAGTTTATACTATCTTAAACGCAACTCTCTCTGTCGTTGGTTAAAAGTGTGGTCCTAGTAGTGACGACCTCTCTCCGCCGTGATAGTGTTCCACTAGTCAAACTCCTTCTATCCTCAGTCAGTGTAATGATGCTCTATAACAAAAGAAAATAAAATAGTATTCTCTCCATAAGTAGAAACTAATTTCAATGTATTTTTTCTATTCAAAATTTGAATTTATTTTTGTGTATATGAATTCAAAATAAAAATGTATCTTAATATCACTGTATTCAGCCTATAATATTTAAGTCAAATACCATATTGAAAGTAATTTATTAGTT